AAAGAAAACAAGCCATCACCAAATAAGCATAAAGCATCAACTCTGTAAAGCTGAGAAAGTGCACAACTCTATCTTCCAAGGCATAAATGTATTCAAACATGAAGTTGATCAGGACAAAAATAATAAAGAAAAAAATTTACCTTATGATTAGGAACTCTCTTGTATTCTGGCGAGACAAGAAGAATATTCTCAGGCTTCAAATCAGTATGAATTAGGCTCAAATCATGCATGACTGCAAAGTATTTGGAGCAAAAATTAATGCTAGGTGCGGATTGAGCAATTAAAAATACTGAACTATAGATTATTACTAAGAAGAGATACCGTTTCCCATATTACTATAAACATTAAATATAAAGAGATAGTTTTAAGGAATTTAGATCTACATTCATGTTCTAAAGTATTATAAATGTCGCATCCAATACATGTATTATGGATGAAGAGAACTATTACACACATGCTATACATTCCAACAGCTGTCTGCCAATCTCACGGACAAGGTCAATGGAAAATGGGCGATAATTGTTTTTCCGTAAAAAATCATATAAACTTGGTCCAAGCTTCTCAAAGACCTGTTAAGACCATTTGAATTCATCCACGATCTTAATCTTGAAATATTTGTTACACTGGGGAAACTAATCCACCAAATTATTGATCATATACTTACAATACAGATATGGTTACGATAGTCAAACCAGTTCCGTATTTGTACACAACTGCAAAGAATAAACCAGTTCAACCAATCATGACCACAAAAGCCATAGAAGTAGCAGTATAAGACAAACCTCTTAAGGAAAAGTTGCACTCACCGATTGCCACTTTTATCGTGTCTTCCAAGTTGTTGGAGCACTTCCACTTCAATCATAGCTGCATCACGATACTTCTTAATACCTCGAACGATTTTGATGGCAACCATTTCTTCTTTTTCCCGATCCCAGCACTCCAGGACCTGACCAAAAGTACCTGCGAATGAAATTTTGGTTTAGAAAACAGAAGCACAGAGGCAACAATCCCAATTCAAGCAGAGGATTTCCTCCTTCAGTTTAGATAATTACCTTCACCCATCTTGCTGTGTATTTTATCTGCAAATATATCGCAAAAATACAACAATTAGAAAATGTGATTCCATTAGCACAAAAACTATATATGAAACAAGGAACCTATTATGATTTTAATTTTCCAAAACCACGTCATTTCAATTACTTAATCAAAAATAGAAAAATAATCTTCAAAAGCTTTATGACAAGCCGAAAAACTTGAATAATATCAGATGAAAACATCAACAATTGTGGCATATGCAAGCTGTACTTGTTTTCCATAATGTTTCAAGCGTGATTCATTCCATGTGTATATATTAAAATATGTTAAAAGTTATGGGTCGAGGAGTAGTTAAAATTGAAAAGGAAAATCTGCCTATAATATTCAACATAATCTACATGATTATATATCTAAACAAGAGAAAAAAAACATTTTTTGTTGAAAGTATATGGCAGTTACAGCGAGAAGTTAAATTTTCTCCAAGCTCAAATACATAGTGGCCCTCTTTGTCATCTTCTCGCCTTGGTGGAGAACCATTTTGAGCCAAGCCCTTAACAAACAGAGAACTAGCGTACTCTGTGCTTGAAGGTGCATAGCTTGTCACATTCCCAATCTCTTGTCCACAAAAGAATCCTAGCTGAGCCTACACACAGACATCCGTTCACGTTTTTTTTTTAAACATCAAATATCATTAATTTGGTTTACCTCCTAGACACCACCTTCCATACCCTTCCAAGCACATTTCATTCATTGCAAAGAACACCGGAATGACGTTATCATAAAATAGATCATACATGCATAGAATTAAATCTAAAAACCAAGAAAAATGCATACCATCACACCTGAACAGCGTTAGAAAGATCTTGGCTTAAAAACCAAAGAAAACAATGCCCAAAGGAAAACCATGCCCTATTCATGATGCTTAAGAAGCTATGGATCTTCCAATATCATGTTAACAAACCATTTACGTGTAGAACTATTTGCATAAATTCATTTTGAAATACAGAAGCAATAAGAATAAGTTGCCCAATAGACACAAGTGAACTGAAACCAAAATAGAATTTTGAAAATTAGACCCCCACTTGGGGAACTATAAAATTTATATCACAAAACACGGAGATGACCATACAACTTAACATGTCTAAAAGACGGGGCGAAACACCTTACAAATAAATTTAGAAAATTCACATAACAAAAACAATCGATTTCCTCTTTATATATTAACAATCAGAAGGGTAAAATATTCGAATTTGAAAAGTCGAGAGATAGTAATATTAACTGAGATCCCAAAACTAAACTGAAAATAAAGTGCAGAAAGTAAAATGAACACGGAAAATTTTTCGGCCAAAGCCCCAGAAGTTCGACAACCACTTCTAACGACTAATCCCCTGTTAATCATCCATTAAAATGGATAAAGCTCGATTGTACTATAAAGCTCCAAAAATAAACAGCAAATATACAATAATATTCCAAAATATTAAAAAAAAAAAAAGTCAAAGTAGACTTATCTTATAAAGAACAACAAAATCAGCCTCTATTCCACCAAGGAATCACACTAGATCACAAAGATCTCACCAAGAACATGAACTGCCATCTCTCTAGTTATTCAACATCAAGAACATATTACCCAACAAGTAACACAGACAAACCAGCCACTACCGCACATAGGAAGAGGCCGAAATCACTAAGATCTCACAAGAAACTGGTAAAAACTCGAATCCCAAAGATTCGACTTAATCAAAGCTGAAATAGTACAACACCCATATGGATCTAGAATATTTCTTGATGATAACATATTTTAATTTTATAAAATATACCAAGAATCAAGCCCTAATCTCACTAAAAGAAAATGATTTTCTACGCATAGAGAGAAGAGAGAGATGAAGGAACCAAATTCTGAGAACTTGTAAGAGAAGAGAGAAACTGCCATTTTTCTTCCTTTTTGGAGAGTGAGACGTGAGAGAGAGAAAACTATTTGCTGGAAGAAAAGTCTCACACATATTAAATGTATATATTTCCATAAAGATCTCATGGTTAGGTAGATAGAAGAATCTAGAATTAGATCCAATGGTCAGGAAATAAACACGTGTCACAATCCAGCAGTAGAGATCTATTAATAAGGTGTTATTCCGTAAACACATTTATTTCTTTTTCTAAATTTGGAACACTTTCTCAACAATTTCATCTTGGAGCTTGTTTTAATAGAAGCAATTATGATACATGTCTCTATTGCAAAGGAAATGAAGATAAAGATTTTTTGTATCTTGTGTTTTATATTGATGATATGCTTCTTGCTAGTCCCAATAAATCTGAAATTGATGATATCAAACACAAATTAAAATCAGAATTTGATATGAAGA